TGGCCCAGTATTCCTAATCCTATTTCGTAATTCTATATCGAGGAGAGAATGAGTAGTTTAGTATTTTTGTAATGAATAATTTGTTAAATTTTTTTTTTGTTGACAAATAGCTGTGTGTATTTTCAAAAAGCTCCATTTTGCATTTTGAATTGTTTACAGTATCGTAAACAAAGTTTTGAAACTGGGTTGCAACCAGTTCGTAATTGCAGTGCATAATGTGAGAAAATGTGAGTGTGCAATAGGAGAATGGATAACCATAGTAAGATAACCTTGAATCGGCCACATTTTTTTTTCGTCCACACTTACCTGATTGTATCAATCCCCATATATGATGAACTTCTAGCTAAAATCGCTAGTCAAGGAAATTTCCGAAAGAAAAACTAGCAAAATGATCAATTGGCCCAACATCATTCAAATTGATAACAGTTCTTCTCAAAACGCACACTTTTACCCTTTTACCGTCGCCCTCGTGATTTTTATTGTTGGGAACACCATGAATTTCGTTGTGATTTTATGGTAATGGACAAAAATGTTCAATGTTTTGACAGTAAATAACACGGTTACAATGACAATGAAAATCATTGCATTTTTATTGGATTTTTTTATCGATCAATGTAATTCAAGCTGATGTATCAGTTCGCTTTCAGCTGTGGACGGACACAGCAGCATTTGTTCTCGGTGTCGATAGTGCTATCGGCAGTCTGTTTTTCGACCAAGCTATTGTGTGTTGCGCACATTGTTTATCCGCAGTTAGCTAGCCGTGTGTGGAATCCTGTGGATAGAATCAAGAATGAATGGAGTTGAAGTTAAAAACACCGTCAAATTTAGCTTTGGCGATGGAGCTAGAAAACCATCGATGGGCGAAATTATTAATTTCGCGAAGACTCTGGATGCGGATCCTATGCAGATGGAAGCTATATACAGGGTAGCAGAGGAGAAATCCTTGTTTATTAAATTCAAGGTCGAAGAGGCAATGTGTCACACATTGATCAATAACAGTGAACAATTAACTTTCCGTTATGACGATGGAAAGACAGTAGAGGTACACATGTTGAATGCGGATGAATACATTCAGTATGTCAGAGTGTACGATCTGCCTCCTGAAGTGCCAAAAACCTAGCATTGGTGCTGGGGAAATACGGCAAGGTAAAACGTGTGGTTAAGGAGAAATTTCATCCCGAGTTAGGTTTTGATATACACTGGCATCCGCGGTGTATATATGGATGTTAAGAAGGAAATTCCTACATCACTGCATTTCCTCAACCGTAAAGGAAACGTGCTCTATCCCGGGAACAAGAATGTGTGCTTTGTTTGCAAGATTGAGGGGCACCAGATGAATTCTTGCCCAAAGCGGAAACCTCGCAGGAAGCTCGAAAAACAACAAACGACGGATACGGAAAAACGTGACCCGGACGAAGCCCAAAGTGTTAGCAGCGTGGATACCTGTACATCATATGCGGGTGTTTTAGCCGGTGATGCTTCAGCGGATGCTATTGAGGTGTTCGATGAAGAAGTTATGGCAATCGATGAGACGACCCCGGACATGGAAGAAGAACAAGAAGCAGCAAGAGGAAGTCAGCTCGAGACCGAAAGCCATCCATTGTTCGTGATCGCAAAGAAATTGAAAACTGCTATTGAAACACAGAAAACGGAAGAAAGAAGAAAACTGCGGCCGCGAGAGAATGTTAACACCAAACAACCGGCTTCTAGGAAAAAATGAACTAATTTTATAAACTCTTTTATTTCAAATTAATGAAAAACTGTAAGTATCGGCTCCGTAAAGCTAACGCGTTTGAGCCTTACAAATAAATTAATGGATAAAAAAAAGCTGATGTATGAAATAATGATGTAATAGCAAAAAGTTGTATCTGCTGTAATGGATGTAATTTTGTTCGCAAAATCGATATACATCGTACAACGTTATATTACACAACCGATGGATTGCTCTAATAAAAAATACCATAAACGAACGATAACCCAAATCATTGAACTATTCCACAAATGGTTTGGATGATACCTTGAACACGTCGTTAAGCAAATTAACCATAACATTTTTATTAGGGTAACCTGCCCGCATAAACGCGAACCAAAATTGACCTTACCTAAAATGGTTTAAAATTGTTTATAATCCCTGCTAAACTTTAACTGAAATGGTTATGGAACTTTAAATGAACGTTTAATGATAAAGTTTCAACCTTATGTATTATGGTTTTTTGGAACTGGACCTTACAAATAATGGGTTGTTAAGAATCATTACCGTTCCAAATTCTTGTTTTCTCCATACATTTTCGGAAACAGAACTATATTAGAACCTTTTAACTTATGGTTTGAGAACTTTAATGGTAATGGTTATGGTAGTCAGTAAGGTCCACGAATGGTTTTGTAACATCGATCAACTTTATGTGGAATATATCGCGAATTGGTTGCCTGTTATTTACTGATTACCAATTCACGATATATTCCACGTAAAGTTGAGCGATAATACAAAACCATTAATGGACCTTACTGACTACCATAACCATTACCATTAATGTTGTCAAATCATAAGTAAAAACGTTCTTATATAGTTCTCTTTCTGAAAATGTTTGGAGAAAACAAGAATTTGGAATGGTAATGGTTCTTAACAACCCATTATTTGTAAGGTCCGCTTCCAAAAAACCATAATACATAAGCTTGAAACTTTATCACACAAACGTTCATGTAAAGTTCCATAACCATTTCAGTTAAAGTTTAGGAGGGATTATAAATAATTTATAACCATTATCGGTACGATCAAGTGATGGTTCGCGTTTATGCGGGTGGTTGCAGCAGTTTGGATGTAATAGTCAACAACTTTTTTTTTCTGTGTACGCTTGTCGGTTGAATATCGCAGGCAACTTCACGCTCCTGCGCAAGGTATCGATGCAGCACCGCTGCACCAATGGTAAATGAGTATGTGCGGTGTCGTACGCAACAAATTGAGTAATTCCAAAGTAATTGAGAGTGATAAAAGTAATAAAGTAATTTTAACTAATTGAAAAATAATCGGAGTAATTTTCGGTAATCTGACTGGCACTGACTAAAGCCCTACGGTAAAAGTATGGACGTCTGTCAAAAGTTGTTCCAATCGAACCGTCAAAATGCACCACTTTGCTCGATTGGAACTGCTTTTTTTCAGTTTTGTGGTGACAGTCGTCCATACTTTTACCAACCGGTCCGCACTCGTGTTTATTTCAGTTACCATGCGGACGTAATTTGTGATTAGTCCCGGTCCCTTTCAAATTGTATCATTATTTATGTACGGCCTTAAATTTGAAATGACGTTTAACATTCATTTAGTGATGGCCAATTTTCATTGGAATAATAGATTAATCGATTAACGAACCGAAAAGTAAAATATTTGTAATCAGTTATATCATGCTGATATAAGCATTAACTTCTACAGAGGATCATCACCCATCGTTTCAAACATATACTGCACTCTCATTGGTGGAAAAATGATAGCACAGCGAACAAAACATAATCGATTAGATGTTAATCGAATAATTTAAAAAATGGGACATCTCTGATTTTGGTGTGATTGTTTTGATAAAAACAGCGCTGCCATTTATACAGATTTATCTGTATTATACAGATTTTTTAATCTTAATACAGACCCGATACAGAATACAGATTTATCACAGATTTTTTAATTACAATACAGATTTATACAGATTTTTATAAAATGCTTGAGAAAAAAAAAATCTATATCAAAATAAGTTATCAAGCAGTTCTCACTAATATCAATATATGTTATAATTTTGATATTCTTTGCATATCTTTTAGCTCTCATTTTTGTTCTGTTAGCCATCAACTCCATCAAAATGAAATCAATTTGAGTTATCAGGAATAATGAAAACAACATAATTCTTGTTTTCATTTTGTTCTCACCCTCTGCTCGGGAACCTATCAAATTTCCATCGACAATTAATCATGTGATGGTGTTTTTGACAGCATTCACAACCAGAGGACCAACCGCTTTCGGATGCATATGGAGCTAGTAGTAAACGATTTGAGATTGTATGGGGATTTACAGTATTAATTGAATATTTCCAATATAAGCATGTATGTTAAATACAAGAAAAGTGCCCGAGCACATTAAAATGGTACAAATACAAGTACTCGTAAACATTTTACTTGCATTGAAAATGTATTTCGTAAGAAATTGTGGATTTTCTGATATTCTCCATACTGCAAAAATGATTTTACCAGCACTGGCGGGGCGACATCTCTCGACTTTTCGGTGTATCTACCACACAAATGATGTAATTAATTGTATTCATCTATATTAAAAATATCAAATAGTAATGAACTCGTGCACTTTTTTGCATTTAAAACTGCTTATCAGGAAGATAATGAATAGAAACTAAAATCTCCATACATTTTCAAACGGCTTCATATCACTCTTATAAATAAGTATGGACGATATCACAAATGGCGCAATTATATCCCGTATGGTTAGTACGATAGCCCGAATAGGTGGTTAAGCACTTTTTATGGTTATTTTGTATGCACTGTATTTGTAAAACAACAAAACATGATTAATTAAGAAAAAAATCGTCAATACAGAAAATACAGATTTTTTAATAGAGTGGATACAGATTTTTTATAAAACCACCTGGCAGCTCTGGATAAAAAAGAGCGCAAAATTTCATCTCTACCGAGGGAGAAGCAAAACCACAAAATTACGTTGAATACGGGGGGTATTCATTGGATGAAAGGGACCGTGAAAGAGGACACTAAAATAGAAAGTTTTTCTTCCGACAGTTTCATCTTAGTATTCATCTTTGCTTTTACTAAAGGGCTTTAGCACTGACCGGTAATTAACGCTGGTAGAAGCCCCTCGGGTTGGGTTTGCCCTTTCCAAAATGTTTATTTGGCCGATGGGGTTGCTGATGGTGGACGTAAAATAAAAAAAAAATAATGACATTTCGAGTGACATTTGTCGCCCTGTTCATCAGCCGATCGATTTTGACATATTTTTCTCTTCTTTTCCGAGTGGTACGCAAAAGTTTCGAAAGTTTGAAGTGAAAAAGCAAACTTTATGCAAAATTGTGCTGGTAAGACTCGGTTCTATGTGTATTTTGTAGCATAATATTAATGACTAGGGACATGGCTGGTCTGGAGGAGTACGAGAGGTATGTTAGCAGGAATGCAGGTGATTTTATTTTCGGAAATGATCTTTTGTTTGTATTTTGTCCTGGTAGGTATCTGGAAGACGATGAAGACCAGTTAGATAATATACCTCGGTTTCATCCATCCTTCAGATCACCGCTTGAAGCGACGCATTATCAGATTATTAATTCGGAACGTGATTTGACGCTTCCGTTGCAAAAGCATAAAAATGTACAACCAATCTATGAAAGTCCGGATGAGGGTAAGTGACTACTTGTGTATTCTACTGCAACATCATCCGATGTCTCGTTTTTGTATATTCGTTTCGTAGATATTTCGCTCCGAAAATATCTGGGTGCTAGCGTCAATCTTATCAGCCTGATAACGGAAAACCTACTATGCCATCCTTTCATGGTACTCCGACGGCAATGTCAGGTACATCATAATTCGAGGAAGTACCACATTGTACCGTTGACACTGGTGCCGATTATAGTCCATCTACATCAACGGCAGGGTGTTACTACTCTATGGAAAGGAATCGGAAGCGTTCTCCTGGTGCGGGGCATGACTCTGGCAGTAGAGGATGTTGTTTCAAAATTCACACCATGGCCAAAGTAAGTAGTTCAGGGTTGAAACTATACAAAAAATAAGTTCGATTGTTTGGGAAACAGCCAGGTGAATAATAGCGGTGGATAGAACTTATTACCTACCGCCAGGGAAGGCATCGTTCATTCTTTCTGACATACAAAACTTACGTTAAGTCGAACTGACTTTTTAGTTAATTCATCTTAAAATAAATGGATTAAAGTTAGTATTCTTCCAATCAAACGTCACAATTTTCGCACCGTAGATCCGTACTCCCGTGTTTTCATTGGAGGTGTACACCCTGGTGTATCTTCGATGAAAACACGGTGTGTGACTGTACGGTGCAAAAATTATTAAATTTATTTTTTTAAATATAAGTTTAAGGGAAAGCCTACCGTGCTGAAAAAAAAATCGTTATGAGAAATATTATTATATTTCTTCTGAGGTAAGAATATTTCAAGAGCAAATTTTCATTACGTCCAAAGTATCACCTGTAAACACAATCGAGTTATCAGTATCAATCGATGCTCCTGCTATTACACTATATACTGTCTGATTATAGGAGCTCATCCCCTTTTTAAGCATGTTTACCTGTCAAATTATTTTAATTGATTACATTTTTTATCATAAATATTTTTAACTATACATATTTTCACATATTTATAGGGAAGTAAATTCAAAAACAACTATGAAGCAGTTTGGACAACATCTGCTGCTTAAATGGTAAGTGTGGCATTTTTCTATTGGTAATTTTCGATTTTAATCAAAACTTGTTTTTCCTTTAGCATAAGCTTAGCCACAATTGTTCCCTTTTATTCCGCATCTCTCGTAGAGACTGTCCAAAGCGACATTGCAAGCGAGAAACCCGGAATTCTCGACGTATTTCGCGAAGGTGCCAGCCGTCTGGTGTCATGGAGCGTTCCGCAGAAAGGTCGAATGCTACCCATTTGGGCTCTCGTCGGTCCAAGCATATCGTTAGGAATATCTAAATACGTTTGCCAGTAAGTTGGATCTAGTCGTTTGCCCCCTATCGTTAAGGTGCTTAACATACATTTCTACACAGGCTTTTCGTAAGAGGTATATCCACACGAATCATGTGCCGTCGGGTAACGTTCTTCGAAGAGAAGCGAGGCGCACGTACTCGCGATTTCGCCGCTCAAAGCCAGGTTATTGAAGTGTACTCGACAATGATCTCACTCATGGCCACCGAGATAATCTTCTATCCGTTCGAAACGATTCTGCACCGGATCCAGCTACAAGGCACACGTACCATCATCGATAATCTCGATTCCGGATATTCGGTAGTTCCGATACTGACTAGCTACGAAGGTGTTGTCGATTGCTACCGGCAGACCATAGCTACCGAAGGTGTCTCCGGCCTATACAAAGGCTTTGGGGCGATGCTATTGCAGTTTGCTGCTCATGTTGCTGTGATAAAGTTGGGGAAATGGATCATCACGCAAATATCCGAAATCATGTCCAACAAGCCACCGCCGAAGGTGACTGAGTTCTACAATCTGGATGCGAAAAACTCCGGTGGGTCGGTTAGCATGTCGAGGAGCATCAGTGGAATAAGCTCCCTCAGCGAGGAACTTTCTTAGGTCACAATAAATTGTAACAAGCGGGATTAAAGTTGATTCATTACCTACAAAATGTTCCTTCCTTTTGAACCGTTGTAAAGAAACGACCCTGGTGTAAGACCATGCAGTTTAGTTTTTATTAAAGAGGGCCTCCGCGAAGAAGACATTCCGTTTTGGGACTCATTTTTAAGTACCTATAATCAACTCAATGAAAGCAACAGTACGTTGAGTAGTTTTGGTAGCTATCTACACTGCCGATACTCGCATAATTGTCCCATCTTTGCTTGATTTCCTATTCATATGGGACAGTTATGCTTTTATGGGCAGTACAGTATTGTCACTAGAATGCGTAGCAGGGGTGGCAAACAACTGTCATACAGATCCCTTTTTTTTGTTTATTTGATAACTGTTGGTGTGCTTTTGGAGCACCATATATTGATATAGGGGAAATGCAGGTAATGTCGGCCTAAGTGTCCCTAATTTGGGCCCATACATAAATTCAGCAATCAACTAAATTTTCAATAGCAATCAAAAATATCCATTAGTAACGTCCCAATAACGCGTTCATCTAGATAAAATTGATAAATAGCAGACTTTTAGCGATGGGCCCAAATTAGGGACATGTAGGCCGACATTACCTACATTTCCCCTACATGGGTTTTCTTCTTTCCGTTATTTAACGTCGGTCTCTGTTCCGCAATCTAGTGCCAATCACCGACGGACATCGATTGCTATCCATTGATGGCAACCGAATGTGCAGGGAGGCAGCTTCCACACCTGCGTAGGATATCGCACCCATTCAACAGCACACATGGGCCAGGACCAACGGCTTTACTTCCCTTCCGAAGGAAGACGTGACCAGAGAGTTTTATGCCTCACCAGAAATTTGTATGTCCACCGACCTCGGCTGGGATTGAACCCAAACCCATTGGGGTGAGAAAGCAGTCACGCTTACCACTACACCACCGGTGCCGGCTATACATGGGTTTTACCAGTGTAAAAATAATCTAGAGCTAGTTGGCCAACCCTTGTCCACCCAAAAATACAATAGTGCGCTGCGCACACTAGTAAGTATTTTTCAATATATATAATGTTACTTACTCGTCTTTGTGTAATATAATCAATAATACCTTTGAAAGTTTTTTTCTTCAAGTTTTTGTGATCTGATAGATTTCCCAGTTTGGTTAGAAGTTTCGAAGCTAACGCATGTCCACAGGCATAATAGAAAGATAGGCAGAAAAAGTGTATCATGAAGAATGGTTGCATGCATTTGCTATAGATGAGTGATTTTCGGAGTTTTGAATTCGTTAGATGTTGTAATGGGGATTCGTATTTGTTGAAAACGGAAAGAGATTGAAGGGCGGGTGTTTGACGCATAGAGTCTGTCTATTTCGCAGTCAGCGGTTTTATGATTCGTGAGCGCTCGCGATTCGTAGAATCGTTGATTGTGGTTGCAAGTGGATTTGACGGGTTTTGTGTGTCAGACGCTTGCCTTTTGGCCTCTTCTTGTGTCTAGGGTGTGCAAGGTATCATTATAGCGTCTAATGGTTTTCAGATTCCTGGTTGGGTGAAATACATTTGTGAGAATGTCTTCTTGAGATTTTAGTAGTCACGTTTTGTTTGTAGTTTATATTTTATTTATTTCATGTAATTATCGTAAATAATAGTTATTCAATAATAAATAATTCATCCATATATTCAATAATAAATTTACGAATGACTATAATTTGGATACCTAACAATTAGGCAAAATTACTAGCAAGAATAGGTTGCGGAGTGTTCGAAAGACATTACATTGGAGGCGGATTCTGGTTCGGAATTACAGGCTGCTATTTTGAGCAACTTATCGTCATAAAATTAAAAATAACATTTAGGTATTAGTCAAAAAAATTTGAAAAGTAAGTTAGATATGTTATGGTATTAACTTTTGCAATTTTTTTTTTGTTTGTTTTTTATATTTTTTAAATTTATTTAAAAAAAAAAAATTTATTTTTTTTTTAGTTGATTATTCTTGAACGCAGCTAAAACTAGGAGATGAGGAAGAAATATAGTCATTTGGTGCACAAACACACACACACACCCTGATACACAAACACATCATGACATTAGACAAGAAAACATCCAGACATTAAAACTGACGTACGAATGAGAAGAAGACATAGACAAAGACAGACCAGCGATTACCGAACCATAAAGATTTTCAAGAAGATTATCTCCCCTATTCTGCGAGTCACGTGACTCTCTCTCACCGGTGAGGTGACAATTATCACCTCACCGGTGACAGAGAGTCACGTGACTCGCAGAATAAGGGGGTATGATTAATCAATATCGTGAATCCGGTGTTTAATTGGTCACCATAGACTAATCCGTCCGGCATCGTAGTCACTTGAAAATTTTTCTCATCAACCCCGATCATTGCAATCCTATGGGGATAAAAAAAAAATTACGGATAGCTTATCAAAGAAAATGAAACAATTGTTATAATTATGTTTTTCAACTATTAATTCACTTTCTATTAAAGTGGTCATACCAACTATTAAAAATGTGTTGATCAGCAAGTTTATGCACGATTTTCTTCGGATGTTTAATGGAGAAAAGCAGGTGGACTTAAAATTTTACCTTTATTTTTAGGGAACTGAAAAACGCGCGAATACTACTACTTTAACACTCCGAATAGTAAAATGTGTAATGGCAAACTTACCATGTTTGAAAAATCAAAGCTCATCCATGTATTGGCGAATTTCAAATCTATTGGCGCCATTTGAAATAACATACTTTAAAAATTTATTCGCTATCAATAGATCTAAAATCTATCGATAAAATGCTGAGAAATGATTATTCAAACATTGCCAATTTGCCGTTTAACATTTTACCGGAGGCATCGTGTTCAGAGTGTTAATAATTATGTTTCTCTTCCTAGTCTTCGCTCTTGACGATCAAACTATCCACAACTAAAGCCCTACAGTAAAAGTATGGACGACTGTCACCACAAAACTGAAAAAAAGCTGTTCCAATCGAGCAAAGCGGTGCATTTTGACCTATTTTGACGGTTCGATTGGAACAACTTTTGACAGACGTCCATACTTTTACTGTAGGGCTTTATCCACAACTCCTAATAAACTGCCGTCTACACTGAAATAATACATTTGTCGTTTCAAAGTAATGACTATCGAATGTACAACCGTTTTCTATACAAGAAGTACTCAAGACGTATGCAGACCAATTTCCGGCGTCATCCTAAGCTATTCTGGACGTTTGTGAAGACAAATAGGCTACCGGTTGAGATTCATCTAAGCGATAAATAAGCCAACACTTCTTTAGACAAATGTAACCTCCTGGCAGAACATTTTAAGAGTGTTTTCAACCACTTAACGGCATCGTTAAATCAAGCTGCTGAGTTACATCACCTTGAACCCATAGGTGTATCCAGAGGGGGGCAGGGGCAACGGATCCCCCCTCTCTAAACTCAGCCACACAAAGGCTTTCGGTGAAATGACATTCGGCCAAATTTTCCATAGTAAAATTCTTCCTAGCTCGAAACCTGGCTATGCTCTTGCTTGTACCTGCTCGAAAGTATTTGAGATAATCATCAAAGACGCTTTATTTGCCAGCTGTAGAAACTACATTCCTCCTGACCAACATGGTTTCCACCCCCAAACGATTGTTCTCAACAAACTAGCTCTTTTCATTTCCCTATGCCTACGGAATATGGAGGCAGGACCACAGGTGGACGTCGTATACACGGATCTCAAGGCTGTTTTCGACCGGATTGATCATGCCATTCTTCTTGTCAAACTCGATAAGCTCAGTGTCTCTCAAGGACTTGGTTTGGATCGTATCTTACCAATCGATTGGTTTGAATCGTATATTACCAATCGAGAGCTTTGAGTGAAAATCTTTCAATGAATATTTTTCAAACAACCCAAGCGTTCCTCAAGGCAGCAATTTGGGACAGCTGCTATTCTCGATATTCATTACCGAAATCGGTTTGATACTTCCAACTGGCTGCCAGTCATTCTATGCAGACGATATAAAGATGAACGTGGTTGTGCGATACTTCACTGATAGCTTGCGGTTGCAGCACCTGATCGATAGTTTCAAAGGGTGGTGCTCTAGGAATTTTCTCACGTTGAGTGTACAAAAATACAATATCATCACTTTCCATCGCAAGCTAAAACCTATAGCATCCAATTATACGATCGATAACCAACCTCTGCAGCGTGTGGACAACGTTCGTGATCTAGGAATTACACTTTATTCTGCTTTCACATTTAAGCTACATTACACGGTTATCATAGCCAAAGCTAACAGGCAACTCGGATTCACTGATGAGTTTCCTGCCTGACAGCTCTATACTGTTGTCTAGCACGATCGATCTTGGAATTTGGTGTAGTAGTTTGGATAGCGAGGATCGAGTCTGTTCAGAGGAAATTCGTTCGTTGCGCTCTCCGTCACCTTCCCTGGAATGATCCAACGAACCTTCCATCCTAAGAGAATCGTTGCCAACTCCTGGGTATTGAAACTATTGAACATAGGCGGAAGATTAACCAGGAAGTTGTTACAGCAAATGTGCTGATAAGCGAAATCGACTCTCCCGAGATTTTGGCTGAATTCGAAATCTAAGCACCTGAACGAGTTCTACGATCTAGGAGTTTCCTTCATCTCAGACCTTGAGCAGCTAATTACGGATTACATGATCCATGTATTTTTCTACTTCAACTGCACAGCGTCACCGGATTCAACGTAGTCTGCTGGATATGTGACGATACGGTATGACACATGCAACTGCTTTCAATCAGCTAATTGTTGCAAGACGGTGAGTATAGCTGTCCATTTAATTTAAGAGGGGGCACCTGTTGGTGGGTTTCAAAAATCGTTTTTTTTTTTTTTGCATTTTCAGCATCCTTATACTTTCTAGAATGTTGTGTATCTTATGTATGGAATAGCATAATTAATATAAGTCGCTGTTAGTCTAGTGTTAAATGCACTTAAATATAACTCAAATCTTTAAACGAGTTTTCTCGAAACCACATTTTTTGGGACCCGTACAGAAGGCCGAATCACAAAAGACCGA